GGCCAAATTTTGTTTGCGGTTTAGTTTCTCTGGGCAGAATTGTTTACAAGAAAAGATAAATTAAGCAGGTACTTAGTGAATCCAATAACTTACTATAGACAATATGCATTCGGCTATCATGATATAATATCGTTTATGAACATCGATTATGTATCAAATATTGACAATGTGCTTTAACGATAATTTAATTATGATTAATATTATTTATTGAAACGTTATTGTATTAATTGAATTTAAGTTAAAATATCTCCGATACCAATGTCATTTTAAAATCATAAATGTACTCATTGGACATAATAATCGTATTCTGCAGAATCCGCCAAATCTTATTACTTTAAAAAAGAGAGAAATATTTTATAACCCTCATTGATTTTAGTTTCTTAATAACATTTTAATTTCGAACTTTATCATATGTATTTTAAAAAAGATAAAAGCTTCTTTTACAAATTATTGTATACTATTATTTGAAATAGAATAAAAAGTCATAGTTAAATACTTAAATGTAAGTTGTAAAAAGTATTTTTCTTTCATTTAAAAAAAAAAAGAGTTACCTATCAATAATCAACAATTTTACAAGGCCTGAAATTTTTTTCTGTTTATGATTTTTGTTAATATTCTACATTGTAAAACCCCTTAAATCTTTATGAGACAATAAATAAATGGAAAAAAATTTTAATTAAGGTGAAAACTAAAATGTAAAATATAATTTTCATATTTTATAAAATTTGGAACGAATTGGAAAAAGTATTAAACCTCTTGATATAAATGCATTTAATCGTTTTTAATGTTAACTTGTGTAGTTATAATTAACTAAATATATATGTATAATATTATGTAACTATATATATATCTACAAATAATTGACATAATATGCATTTTTTGAAATATATTTTTTATAATAACGTATTTTATTGTAGTTAGTATTTGTTTTGATCTTTTGAGTGATTTTTGTAAGTTATTGTAATAGAAAATATAAAATATAAAATATAACGATTAGTTATATTATTCCGGTGAAACTCAAAAGCGCAAATCGTCTATTTTTTTTCGATAGACCAAAAGTGCAAATTCATTTAATTTTGCACTTTGTACCTTAATAGTGGGATAAAAGCGCAAAAATAAATATTGCACCCGTTACACATAAGTTTCATTTTATAATTATTAATTATATTAAATTAAATTATTCATTTTAATTAAATATAATATACAATATTTCTACAATTCAAAAATACATCAACAGTGATTGAGTTCAGTTTAAGTATAGTATTAATTACGGTGAAGGTCGATAATCATTCAAGATAACTATACAACATATTCAGTATAAACTCATATCTAACTTATAAAATATTCTTTATTCTCGTAAAATTTATTTGTGTTTATAGCTTGTTAAAAAGGTTTTTTTTTTTTGCTCTTATGGAACATTTATTTTTACTCTAATGGGTACCTGTTAAATTTTTTATTTAGATATAACTTACTAGCTTTACTGATTATAATTTCAGACACAATCATTACATGTAATGATATTTGGATGTTGATTAGGGTAAGTATGTTATACGTGTTTACGATTCGTATTATATAGTTTCGGAGTGAATGTGTTTTCGACAAGAACGCCAATAATATACACATACAAAATGTATTGTGCAAAAATTATTTAGCATAAATATTGTACATATTTTCACAGATGTAAGCAACATTATTATAATTCATAAATTCGTTTTGGACAGTTGACGAGAATCTAAATCCTGACGATTGGGGAAATAACTTGTCATTATAATATGTGTACTAAAAGACACCATTCGTTTGAAAAATTTTAATTATAACAAATTAGTGAATAATTTCACTTTATACTGTAAATGTTATGTAAAAATAATATGGTTTGATCTCATGTATAATATTTTATTACATAAACATTCTAAATGAAACATTCGTAAACGATTTGCCAACGTAAACTAATTTTTTGGCTACAAAATAATCATGGAATTGTGCGTGAGTAAAGTTTAAGTGTATATTAAATTGTTACATAATATACTTTAAACAGATAAATGTTATTTTTCGATAAGTTTGTAACATATTTTTGTTTACGAACAAATAACCATGTTTTTGCTGAAACTGGACATACCTAAAGCAGTTAATCTGTTGAGAATGTATCGCTCAAACATATTTCAGTAGATCTTTATATTTAATCAAACTTATTACTTCTATCTGATACGATATGTACAAAATATTGTGTAACAAAATATGTCTACAAATATTCCGTACAAAAATATATTATAGAAAAATTTTTCGGGAAAAACATTTTTAATTTTACACGTAGTATTTAAAAATTGTATTTATTTAAAAATACTTCACGTAAATTATTACTTCGTATTTTATGCTCAGTACCATACTAAAGAACGCAACTAAGCTGAGCATCCATTTCAAGGAATGGCTATAAAACATAAGGGTATCAAAATAATTATTATCTATACCATTCTTTTACATAATATACATAGTATACAAATAAAAAAGTAAAATCACGTTTTAAATAATTTGAATTAATTGGAAAATAATTGTCCATTTCTGTCAAATAATGATTTATTAAATATTTAAAATACTACTGGTATTTTTACATAACAATTTTATCGGAAAATATAAGTGTTTTTTGTCGAACCATTATCTAAATATTATACAATATCAATATAATATTGATATTTTTATATATTTGTAACGCATACAGTGTGTTATAATTTTAATGCTTACTAATTTATATTTTAATTTATTAATTTAATGATTGAAGATTAAACAACGTACCTGTATGTCAGAATCAATGGTTCATTAGCCTAAATGTTACTAATACGGCGGTGTATAATTTGTTAATCTTGTTTTGTATGCATTTCTGACCACTAGCAATAATAGTACACTATAGTAAGCGACTTATGCTCTGAAATGTATCTATATCTAATCTATACATAATCCCACTTATACTTGTATAATACAAATAAGAAATGAAGTAATTTTTTTTTTCGTTATTTAAATGTCGATGCCTACTATACAATTTGAGTATAAAATGACGACTCGATCAAAAACAAGTCGTACGAAAATCTCAAACATTTTAAATACCAATTACTAATAGCAGCAAAATAATTTTTATACCTGATAATTCAAAAGATTTTACAATAGCTTAATTTCAAACCTAATCTACAATACACCTACAGAGTTTACCACAACTCACTAGCACATAGTTTAATTAAAAAGTCTTTGATTGTATCATATAAATACATATGTATTGGTTATATATATATAGTATATACATATATTCAACTTCTAATTCAAAATGACTGCAATAATTAGGTAATTACTTATTTTGTTTTCAAAAATAGTCATATATATTAAAACAAGGTATGAAATATTTTACAAAAATAATTGATTTGTCAATTGTGTTATAAAGTATATAAAATAATATTATTGTAAATATTTTTGTATGGATATACGTTTGTTTACATAAAAAAAAATAAATAAATAATTGGTTTAGGTATTCGTTATTTTTATTATGCACACAAAGTATAAAATATAATGAGTATAATCAAAAGAAAAAATTATTTATTATATTACAAAAAATTAAAGGCTATGTAACATACGTAAATAAAAATTCTATAAATTAATTTAAAAAAATTAAATGACCAATAGAGTAATAGGTAGGATTTATCAATTTATACGCTGATTTATATTATAATATAACGAGCAACGTTCTAAAATGTTTAAAATATTGTTTACCAAACATAAACGTTGGCGATACTTGTAATTTTATTAAAAATCCGTACTTGACTTTTATCGATAATGTATGTAACGTATATAGTCGAAAATAAATACAGTTGATATTTAATACTTGGTATTTGAGATAACGATACATATATATATATATATATATATAGAGTGCATGTCACATTTACATAAAACTCACTGGTGAGTATGTACCATGTTAACAGTTTAATATATTATTATTAAAAAAAGGTTGTTATGTACTATTTGTTCAATGATATTGTAATATATAACTTTTAGTTAAAGATATAATATTAAAATGATCATGTGCGAATCTAGAAATCTGAAATGAGGTGGGGGGGTATATTTTTTTCAGAAATATTTCTATTATAGTTATTTCAGTGCACAATATTCATAGATATAATTCACGCAATAATAAAAATAAGATTTAATTACAATAGTATTTATTTAAAATTTTTAGATTTTAAAACGTATGAACTATTTATTCCGTAAAAAAATATATTATACACATAATGTATAAGAGGGGAGGGCGTTAAGGCCTATTAGCTTGCGATAGAAAGTGAGAAACTTATCTATTTGTATTCAATTTTTTAAAATAAAACCTCTATTACTTATGTGGTGAAGTAGTACGACTTACTTCCTGGACTTATCTTTTATCAGAATTTATATACTTAAGGATTTTCTCTATTGACCAAAGTAGAATGTTTATATTTAAAACTTTAGGGCAGGGGTCTCCTATATACAGCCAAGCTAATTAATATTTTGAAAAAAAAATACTAATTTTCATTGGTTTTAATTTATTATTTTTTTACTAACAGGTTTTAAAAAATGTTGATCCACGGTACTAAAGCATATTAAGATTTAGTCCACCGTAAAACAAAATTGAAGACTACTGCTCTAGTAAATTAGGTTTGATTATTTTTAAAATTGGCAATAGTTTATTTTTCAGTGTATAATACATCGTCTCGAGGTTTCCGGTGAAAAATATACTGCGTTTAACACATACGTACACGATAGAATTTCAGTTAACGGATACCTCCGAATAATGAATGGAGTTTTTTTTCGAGTTAACTATAAATTTAACACATTGAATAGCGGACACTTTCAAATATCAGAAACCAAGAGTTTTTGATTTTCAGTTGTTATACTATGCATAATTCCGATGTCGCATTTCTTAATAGTCGATTGTAATACAATTTACGTTTATCATATTATATTAATCTCTAACTATATATTATACATACCGAATTCCACCAAGAACCGTCCATGATGCCGTCGTCGATCCGGTGCGTAGATCACAATTGGTCGGATTTTCCGTTTTCACGATCAGATGCTACGGCAGCGGGTTTCAGACGGCGAGACGACTTCCTGCTGAGCGATTCGGAGGTTCGAGTGGCGCTTATATACCGGTGGGGTCTTGTGGGTTGTGGCACACGGTGGAAGACTATTGTTTTTTTTTTTTTTTAAGTCTGATTCCAAAACGAATTTATATTTTTTAAATTTTTTGTGGAGTTAGTACATAACGATCAACACCAGTGGATTTCAGCACGATGTACTATTATCGCCGTGTCTGTTGTAGTTTTAGATTCGGATGTTAGACGGCCCGTGGTTTCGATTATTATTGTTATTTTATTATGGTTATTCGTTTAGGGGTTTCGGAATTTTTTTCACTGATAACGTCCGTGATCGTAGTCGTTGGTAATCGCGGTAGACCGCTCGCGCGTCCGTGAACGGATAATTATGAGCCGTATGCACGCGAGCTCGTCGTTTTTATTCTGCTTGGCCGTCTGTCTATTATAGCGCTCCAGGTGAGCAAAGGATTCACCGAAATTGTTGCGCTGCACGTGCATACGTTCATGCCCGTTCTACTATGTGTGTAGATATTATTTTAGTGCTGGCGCTGCAGAGACGTTTTTTTTTTTTAACTTTTATTATTTGTTTATATAAATGAGAAACTGACCATTTAAAGCATTGAATTATCGAATCACGCATTATTATTATATTATTATTATATATTGTAGTATAAATGTTTTTTTTTTAATTTTTTACACGAACTGCAACATTTAAACATTATGTTAAATTATTAAAAACGGGGTCGCGTCGTGTACAAATCATGTTTATTGTACGTGATGTCGACTTTAACCGTTTATTCGTTATTGATATATTCATAATTTTAGTTACAAAATAACAAAAACATATGATTGTGTACCATATTAAATATTATGCTAACACGTCATTTTTTATACATTTTGTTTTAATTTATCGATTAAAATTTAATAGATTTAAGCAAAATATCACGAATTATAACTCGAATTTTCTACATTATTATTAAATTATCAATGACTGTGTATAATTAAACTTGATTTTTAAGTTTTATACTTAATAATTTTAAAAATTAAGAATAAACCTATTATTATATACCTAAATTACTTAAAAAACTGATTATCTAAATATCTGGAAAATTTAAGAATGTAAAATTAATTTAAACCAATTATTAAATAGAAATGTATTTTATGCACTGAGACACATAGTGTTTAATAACGATACTTGAATTTATGTATATTGAGTAGACACAATACTGCAATAGTTTATTGTGTCATAACTCTAGGTAACTATGATTTGTAAGCTTAAAAGATTTTAAAAGTTTCTAGTCTGAAAATTTTGGTTTTTTAGTTTTTACTCAAATTAAATTGCTTAAAAAGATATAACAAGTTACTTTTATAAAACTATGTTATCTCCTAATATTCTAAAATCTTTTAGTAAATGTTCAATATGTATTTGACAATATCGTAAACGAAACAAATAATTATTGTAATATTTTAATGTTTTTAATAAATTGAAGTTAATATAAAAATATATTTCTACAAAAAGAAGAAACTAATCGTAATATTGTGATAGATATATTTTCATTATAACGAATATACTGCTATACCTAAATAATCTTAAAGGTAATGGAAATTTACATTTTTTAAATTAAACATTAATTATAATTTATTTTAATTTCTAAAAATTATATTGAAGACACATAATTTTACCTTTTTATTTTAATGATGATGACAGTTTAAAAATGTAAAATATATAAAAAAAAATGTAAAATATGTATCAACTATAAACTAAATAATTATTAATATATTATATTTTACCTAAATTATAAGTAATAAACTACCTCATATAAGTGCGTATACATATTTTTTTGAAATATACAAAAGAACTAACGATGTGTTTGGATATAATTCCGACTTATGTATAATTTTACAAATTTTATTTGAGTTGTAACTTCCCAGTTTTTTGATAATTTTATTACTTTCCTTATTGTGACGATGCCTTAGAACAAAATATATATTTATAATCTTGTAAATATTAAGAATAAAGAATTGATAAAATTACTGAAAAGGAATCAAAAAGGTAAAATAATATATAATTAAAGCCAACATTTAAAATTTTTATTAACATGATACGATTTTAAATTAAATACCTATGAAGTTTTGAAAATACATAATATTTCTATTGTAATTAAAATATTAACTCTAATAAAACAAATTAAGAATCGAACACTTTGGTTATTCGTTTTTGCTAATCACATAAATGCATTAAATCCCTGTATTGTTTAACAAGTTGCAGTCATGGTTTTATAATATTCTACTTAACACCATTTATTAGACATTAAACATCAACAAGTCTTTACATACCATAAGCACGTGTTTTGATCACTATAATAACGTAAATTATTAATTAAACATGCTAGGTATATGTATTGCAATATAAAATAAACGGAACATATTTTTGAAAATAATAAAGGCTTTACGCGAATTAAGATATATAATCACTGTGAAAATATACTATTTAGCAACGTATACGAAATAAATAAAAAAAAATTAGCCATACTTGTCATAATCTTATAGTTGACGTGCATTTATACTCTTTAAAAAACACATACAATAGATACTATATTAAGTATTATACTTACACGAGTTCATGCATAAGTGCTTATGATATAATTAGTTAAATGAATGTAAAGGTAAATATACTCACCGCATATGAGCCACATGATGAATCTTATCCAAATCTTGTACTTGAGTTCTATACGTTTAGTATAGTGCTCAAACACAGAAGTACTGAAACAAATATAAAAAAAAAAAAAAAAATCAAACTATAGTTAATTTTTAATTAATTGTATTTTTGAATAAATTTAAATTCTTTAGACTACATTTTAAAATCAACCTGCAATAATTACATTTTTTTATTTTTATCAAACCTTAAAGAATAGATCTCCTTAAGTTTTCAGAGTTCTATTTGGCATAATTAATGTGATTAATAACAACAAAAGTGATATTATGATGTTTCGATATTTGTTAAGACTATTTCAAACACAAAGCACATACTTCTAAATTATAATATTAAAATACATTACTGAATTATATTATACATTTAACTTAACTACATTTTAAAGGTTTCTAAGGGACAAAAGCAACATTAAATTTGCCCATTAATAGCGAAAGCAGAAGTAGTGGAATACTTGAATAACTATACCGCGCCTAAAAAGATAATAATGAATTGATAGAAGCGAAAGTCTTACCTTTATTATTTTCAATTCATTTTCAACATTTCGAACCTTTTTATTGAATAATTTATTAATATATGATCATAATATATAAATATCATTATAATTTGATCGATATTGATCCACATAAATTTCTTAAATAATGGAGTTTAAGATTATATTGTCAAAATATCATAGTACTGCTATAATATTTTATATGTATATTATATTATTACATTTGACAGACAACTATTGGAAAAGTTAAAGGTATACATAATTTGATAAGATATCATTAAATATTCATTCTAAACATTAAAGTATAATTGTGAACGCCCTTGAAAAATACTGAGTATCGACATTTACCATTTTGCATTCAGCCAATAATTTAACAATGTGCAAATCTTGATCATTTTTGATTTTGATATACACTGTCTTAAATCGATGGTCCATGATCGGCGTATTTAAAATTTCGAATATTATTTAATATTTTTGCGATGATTACAATTGTTCAGGGGTCATATGAAATAATGACATAAGTTAATTATCATATTCTTTTTCATCAAAAATTCATGCTAAATATATAATTACTATACTCCTAAGAATTTCGTTGTTCATTTCACTCTATGCGTAAATATGACCGAATAAAAAATAGACTAGTTTAAGTAATTTTCTGAAAGTGCTCGTTTGATCGTCATCATTTTAGTTGTTTTAAAATATTAGTGTTTTACGTTTGAATCAGAATATTTAATATGACACTTTGTATTATAAAGATGTCAAAAATTTTGTTGAAAGTAGACAGTTCTCGAACACTTTCAGCTACAAGTAAAGTTAAAAAAACAATGTAAGGCAAATCCAATTAGTACTGTTCAAGAACATATTTTGCTTGTTTAAAAAAATAGATAATTAATAATCGGTTAAACATAATATAAGGAAATGTTTTTGTTTGTAATAATTTGAATAACTATTTTATCTATAATTTTATTGAAATTTATTAATTAACTGATAACTTATTCATTAAGGTTTTAGATTCAATAAAATAACTTTAAATGATGTTGCAATATTGCAATAAATATGTAAAAACTAGCTTATATGAATTGGTTCATTAATAATTAATATAATAGGCATTATAGTATAATATATATATATATATATATATATATATATTAAAACAATTAGTTAAATTTATCTTATCTATACAAATTACCATAATTTCCATAAGTGGTTACTATATTTATAACAAACTAAATTAATTATTGAATATTTATGTTATATATATATATAACTATTCAGTACTCTTGGAAAATGATTTATAATTTAGATATTAATAGATAAATAGAAGGTACTTTGTATATTTTTATTTGTAATGTATGTATTGGATATACTGCTTTATATAGTGCACTATTTTAATTTTACACTATATGCATGCATTGAGGAAAATGTCTTTTTTAAATTAAAATAATATAAAAATTAACTATGTAAATAAGAAGAAAGTTTTCAATATCATCAGCTGTTATAAAACACATGAAAGTGTCAAAAACATAATATTATGTAGACTTTAGGTATTACAGAAATTATTATGTGTCATAAATATATCTTTGTATTTACAAGAGCTGTATTTGATCGTAGAATAGGATAGTAACTTTATAACTTTGTACCCTTGACATGTTTGTTTTTAATAAAAATATTGCTATACAATATACATTAAAGTTTATGTTTAAAATAATATCAGGATGTAATTATAAAAGAACTTATTATCTAAATTGTTGTATAATATTAATATAAGCGCTGACATTAAACGGATTTTTAGTTCGGTTATCGAGGACTTCATTTTCACTATGACGTTGTAGTTTATTCATACTGTATAGATTATTATTCTCATAAAGTTTTCCAGTCATTTCTGATAATCTATTATTAATTCGTCAATGCAAAACCATATTTAAATATTGACAATAGTATCTGCCCACTACATCTCGATAATGGACAATAATTATTGACCGCCATTGAATGTGAATAGTGCGATAAGTTAACATTCTGAAATTTAACTCAGTATATTACATACCTACCATTCAATAAAATACGATTTAATTGCCCTGATAATTATTATACACAAGACTATCATGCAGACGCACTTCAATAGACGAAAAAATTGATAGATATGTATATTGCGTCCCAACTCCTCATTCAAATTACCTTTGCGCTAAATTATATTGCATTTCATGATATTATGTTTAGATGAACAAAATTATTAGTTATAGACTGACTGATTATTCGTGCAATTTTGGCATTCAATCTATAGCTGCTCTATGACGCCCACGATAAATCTACTAAAATAAATTTACAATCAGACTTAAATACTGCAGTTACATAATAGTCTAGATTCAAAAGATCAGGAAAACATCACAGACGTGAATTTTGGCACACAACTTATACCTGTCTCATAACTCGTAATTATTATTTTCAATACGTCTTATTATAATATCAGTTTTTTTTTTTTTTTAATTTCATATTTTGTTGTGTAATCATTTTTAATTTTGCACATGTTCACACAAACTTTCAATGCTATTGTAATTTCATCATACCGATACGTGACTGTATGCTAAAAGTATGCAAACACTTAGTTGCAATTACGCTGATAACAAAGAATAATGCAAAATCAAAATAATCGAAAAAGGAGTCAATGTGAATATTGCAAAAGTTTGGATATTCTATATTTTTTCTTCGGGCTGTCCGTTTATTTAATTTTTTTGTTTTACATTAGATAAATCAAAATTTAACACAACGAAATGATTTACATATTATACAAATTATATTGATTTATTTCATTCCATTAAGATAAACTTTTAAAATTAGTCTACAACAGTATTGTTATCTATCAAACGATTTGGTTATCTATCAAACGATTTGGACTAATGATGTTAATTTTTTTATGAGAGCTGCACGCTCGAATGTCGTATGAGTTACATACCCATCTCCCCGTAAACAAATGCACAACGTTTATCAATAATTTCAGTTATTTTTGGTATAATTAGTATTATTATTATTTTATTTTCTATCGACCGACGAGAATATAAGATACCAGTTACTCCATAGTGACGATTGAAAAAACCAATAAGATTTTCAATGAGTAGATTTCAACGGATGATGAATGCGATAAATTCTCCAATTTGGTATATAACGCTGGACACAAAACGTTATTTATATGTATATGAAAGTATATTATAATGTTATTCACATAATAAAATTTAATTTTAATATATAATATATAGTTTTAGAATTCTAGTTTACAATTTCAATAAAATTTCATAATAATAATAATACATAATATATCTGTAATGTCCTTTAGTCCAAGTGTTGATATTTTGGATCACATAAATTACCACGTACAACCACATATTATATAATAATAAAGTAAACATTTTTAAAGGATAAAATAGTTTTGTCCAATTCAAATGAGTTAACTATTTTTGTTACATCTTTGTTAGCTATAGGAGTTTAAATAATAATACATTTTTACATGAAAAAAAAATAACTATAATAATTGTATTGTATTGTAGTGGTGACAAATACATACCATTTTAATTACAAAAATGAATATTTTAATGATGAAGAATACATTCATAGAAAGAAGTTATAATAACAAAATCTAGAGAAAATAATATAACTTTAAATAAAAGTACTGCGGAAACGAATTTCACTAGCATGAACATTTTTATCGTTTAGGATTTTAAAAAACTACTCAGAATTGTTGAGTTACACAATTTCGTTATTTTTGAAATGTTTGTTACGTATTGAATATATAAAAAATGGCGTTAATATTTTATTTGTAAAAATATATATCAAAATATTAGGATAAAATAAAAAAAGGAAATTCACTACACTTATATTGTTTTTGAGTTAATTATTGTGTGTTTAACTAAAATTTAATAATAAATCATTGAATACAAAAACTATTTACAGCAAAAATATACTGTTATATCTATTTCTAAGGATATTTTTAATTTTTATTACTATTATTATTAATTAGTAATGTTTGCTTCTGTTAGTATAGTACAAAAACACATAAGTTGAACTAGAATTTGTTACAATACCACTTATTATAAAATGTTGGATTGTAAAAGTATACAGTCTCATATGTAGAATTAACACACGTAAATATATGTTTATGTGGTATCATCAAAATTGAGATGATTGAAGTTCAGGAGAATATAAGGGGCACAATTTACAAAAAGCGTAAATAGTAAACGTGATGATATTTCACCTTAAGAAATATCATGGGTGGGCAAAAAACTGAGCAAGAGAACACTATAAATAGAAACATTATAGTAGTGTTAAATGAGGAAAAATGTAGTCATAGGTACAATAGATTCAAACATTTTCAAGAGATCTAGATGTTTCTATCAGATAGACATGATTCACTAAGTCAAACGCCGAAAACCGTCAGAATGGCTAAAAAATATTAGAGATAAGAAAAATATTTTAAGTGGTAGTTACGGACTAGGAGCTGTGTTACTTTTCAACTAGAAACTAATTACGAGGTTACTTAATATTTTATTTGAGCACAGCCGATTCCTGAAGCATAGAATTAGAGAAGGATTGTAATGAAACGGTAGGTAGTTAAAAACACGAAAGCAAAAATATCGAATTATACACAGTCATTCAACATACATGTACATGAAATATTTTTTATTTGTAAGACGTAGGTATAAAACTGAATACTGGTAGGTATAAGTAAATATTTTACGAACGGCTATCACTCTGTACGGTGTGTTAAAAAAGAGACGTCTTTCGCATAATGGTTGGTTTTTATTTGGGTTCAAAATATGTTTTAGTCTATATATTATCACCACTATGCGTGTGTCTATAAGTTGATGGAGGAAATCTGGTGTTTCGTCTCTTCAGAATTCGACTGACTTTTTTTCGACTCCGCTCTCCGTCTTAAGCCTTCAACACTGTTATTCATGCCATAAAGTGTATATATGCATAGACCAAACAACAGCCATATACTAAAACGAATCCAAGTGATTACGTCGAGTTTCATCATCAAGTAAATGTTCATCAATATGCTAATGCACGGTATGAGCGGAACTAATGGAACCTGCGAAAACGAAACATATTATGAGTATTAAAAATATTACTTGTTTACAAAACAAATTCTCACGATTAAATTACAGTTAATAAAACTATAAATTAAATACATTCATAAAAATATGTGCAATGTGCATTTTATCTGTTACCTCTAGAGTGGACTGGTGAATGTTTTAGTTTAACAGTGATTTATTTTACTGTCTGTCATAGCACTTCACAACAATAAAAATACTTTAAAAATGCAGTGCTTTTCAAAATAATCAAGTTATGGAAATAAAATAACAAAATATTTACGAAAGATAAGTTTTTGACAAGATCAACATTTATGTTGTAACTTCAAGATTAATAATGACTATAAATACTTAAAATGTTAAACAATTATTTTTATACTATCGTTTTTGTTACTGCAAGGCAATTATTTATAGACATCTTTTTAAACTTACTTTTTTTCTATTTGTGTTAATATATATATATATTTTTAATGATGTGTGATATTCTTGGTTTATTTGTATACTATTTTTAATCGTATCTGTATATGGCTATGTACAATTTATAATGATAATACTTTGTACCTTGAATGAAAGTTTTTTGTTCGATTGGGGTTGTCTAGTCAGTAACAGCAACAGAAGCAACAATCCGATTGCCAAAATGGCGCTAGCATACATCGCTATGCTGTTTTTGACACATTTTGGTTCGAAAGTTTTATCGTTGCTGGTGTTTTTGACGCAACCTGGTTGGAAGGTCGTTCCGTTGATGTTGTTTTCATCACACCATTGATGAACGGTCGTGACACACTCTTGTTGTACAGTTATAAAGCTAAACAACGCTGAAGTGCAAACTGTCAAAGTACAAATGAGGAGTTAAAATAAATTGTGAAAAGTTATTAATTATTAACAGCCGTCGGCAAGCTATGTCATTTCTCAAAACGTACTGAACAATATAATGATTTTCGTGGAAACGCACTGACTGTCTTTATTGGCGTTACTGACGTTGGACAAATTAAAATACTTGTCTACCACCTTTACTAATCCTTTGGTCTCTGATTCACCATTGCTCTGTTTGAGCATAGGCTCGTCGACGTCCGAATCGTTTTTGTACCGTAACATCAGCACACAAATGCACACTATCGTGTACGCCAACAACGTGCCAATCGACATCATGTTCATCAGCTGATCAAGATTCAAAAGTGCTGTCACAATACCTAAAAGACGACGTTTATTAATTGCACAGGGTCAATATTGCAGATGTTAATCATAAATCGAGAAATCGTAATGATCGTATCAATATCATACGTACCTGCGAATAGACCCGACAACAGAGTTGCTAATAGAGGAGTCTTAAACTTTGGGTGAATGATTGAAAACATACTGAACATGAGACCGTCTTCTGCCATAGTCATCAGAATCCTCGGCATCGAGAACATGCTTGCTAAGAGACTGTAAATTTTGTAGTATTCGCGATTAAGACATCACCGAGGTTCTTGACAAACGTGTTCTTACCTGGCAAACATAGCAAATATAGCGCCGGATGAAACAATCATTTTCAAAGTCGTCCAACCGAGATGATCGTAGACGTACGGAAATGGTGCGTCGATGTCCTATAATGTGTGATAAGTGAAAATATTTATAGTTCGAAGTCAAATATTATAAATCCATTGGTAATTAAAAATTATGTTACAAATTAAAGCGATAAGAATAAAAATCACGAGGTGTTCTTAAGGATGCGGTCTAATAGAATTTTCGTTAATTATTTGAAAATTTAATCTCATACCTTCTTTATTACGTATATTTTTATAGCCGTTTAGAGAATCATTTTGGAAAACGATTTTAATAAAAGCTCAAATCAGAGAGCCAGGATCAAAGTCATTATGGACTATAGTATTATAATAACAAATAAAATATTTTTCAGGTTTATAATCAATGAAGACTAAAAAATTAGATGTAAAATATTATAATTTGATACAGGAATAATATATTATATTTAAGCAGCTGTTAGTTTTTAAAATATTAGGAAAACTAATATATGTTTTTAACTTCTACTAATTAACTAGTGTGGTACAACCAGATAATACAAAATATATGTACATATCTTCCAAATACATTAATTAATTAAAATACTGGCTACTGTTTATCTCTGCTTGAAATTTAATTTATGGTGTGAAACGCAACATTGACATAAAATATGACTAACAAACTTAAGAATTATGCAACGTAAAGAGTACATAATAATACTGGTACCTATTTAAGTATATAAAAAAAAAAATTAAAAAAATAGTTGAACCATAAAGGTACTATAAACAAAAGGTGAATTTTGATTTTTAAATTGATCATTACCTGATCATAATACGGCCACATTAGAGTTAAGACTGAACTGATACAACAATATGCAAACGTTATGATAGTCAACGACAATATGATGGCCAACGGGATATCCCGTTTCGGTTTTTTCGCTTCTTCTCCTGTGAATATATATTAATTACTTTATGTTATAAATAGATATTATTGCTTAAAGAATAAAATTAATTATGCCATCGATACTTCAAAATATTGATTAGATTTAAATAGTAACTTAAAATAAAGCAAAATTTTATTTTTGTGGTTATAAAACTAAAAATATCCGAAAAAAAAAAATGAAAAAATTTCAAAGAAATTATCCAGAGTCAATATATTAAAATTTTCAGAATAAAAATTGCAAAATATTATAAAAATGATCTTACAACAGATTATTGATTATATGAAAATCTATCTCACTAGTCCCTACTGAAACAAAAAATTGTTAAATATTTGTTATTTTTTAAGTTACCTATTATTAAAGAGATGGTTATGAATTAGTAAATTAAATTTGTAAAATAATTTTATGAATACTATAAAATTTATTTTTATTTATAATTATTTAATCACATTATTATTATTATCATCTTATAATATTAAATTATTATTATCTTTTAGAGATTCTCGTCTATTAAAACAAGGATTTTATCCTTAATGGTAGACCACATGATACAATATTAGTGTTATTAACCAGTTTTTGTTAATTTAAATATAACTTAATAAATATTATTATTATACTTGACGTTCACCTGTAGTAGCTACACTGTCAAAACCAATGAACCCGTAAAAACATTTGGCCGCCCCCGCAGTCACTCCGGCCCATCCAAAAGGCATAAAACCACCTTCACCACCTTTTGCGCTTTTTGGTATGTCTTGTTTTGGTATACTCCAATTGTGCAAATTAACTATCATAACGACAACAAAAAAATATTACGTTGATGTAAATTATAATTATAATTTACCATTACGGATAATGTGCATTTAATATAAAAATAAAATATATTACCTCTAAATAATCCTGTTATAATAACAGTGACCACAGTCAATAAATTAACGAATGTAAATATGTTGTTGATCATTGTAGATTCTCGAACTCCCCATGACAGTATAACTGCAACGTAATAATATAAATTAGTGATAATTTAATGTAAATAAATATAGCGGCTATTTTGTTTATGTTGATACAATATTCTACTCACTCGATAATAGTATCACGAGACTGAACGACAAAACATCTGGATAATCGGCCAAAAAACTGACGTTTATAGGAAAGAGATAGGTCATGGTGGTTTTCACGGGATAGTCCAACAGCGCATCGATGTAATTACTGAAAGCTTTGGCGACGCTTGCAGTACCTTTAACGCGTAGTAACATTTAATTAATATTACATTTCAACATATTTTAACAAGTGCTGACATTTTCGAACCAAACCTAAACTTTTCATCAATAATTCAGCATATTATTGTAATTTTATTTATTTATTTTCTTTATTTCTAGACGTCCTAATATTTAGAACATCAATTTAATATTATAAAATACTTTTTATAAGCTTTTAAAATTAATTGTTCACTGCAGTTTGCAGTGTTATTCATCTGGTATGTCATAAACCAATAACTTTGGTCAAGGTCATGATATACTTAAGTATTTACACTTTAAAAAAAAAAAAAGAAATATATTAAAATTGTTTTCATTCAACTGAATCTTGAATGAAGCTAATAAAATAAATATATTAATAAAAAATTGATTTATTTTTACAAATACTACGAGTATAAATCAATATCAGTTTTAAAAAAAAAGAAAAAAAGAAAATGGATACTTGTGGTTTAAAAAATATGGATAATAACGAAATTAGATCTTGAAACCATTCAGGTTGAAAATCACTCTTTTCTACTGTATAAACTCATTATATCTGACCTCCCTAGTTGCCACGTAGGTACGTATTATTATGCCATCCGAACGCACCCTTGGTATATTCCGGTAATATGCTTCAGATTTTGTATTCCCGGAATCCCGCACAATGAGATATTACGATAAAACAACTATACAGTATAAGCTGGATATGTCTTAAGTCTTAATATCACTCACCGATGACATATTCGAGTATTAGATTCCACCCGATCACGAACGCGACGAATTCGCCAACTCCGACATAACTGTAAACGTAAGCCGACCCAGCTCTTGGCACTCGCGCTGCGAATTCAGCGTAACACAGGCCTGTAAATATAATATGTTATTGAGTCGTTAATAATAATACTGGTATGTTACTTTCGGTATAGACTTTCAGGAGTGCTCAAGCGTTTCATAGAAGATAATAATTCTCCTCAAAGGGACGGTAAGGAATTTAACAATATACACTATCCAATGGTAAGTTCTAGAGTAGTGCAATTTAAACTTTATAAAGTTTTCATTAAATCTAAATTAATAGGCTATATTTATCCAAGAGTTTTTCTACTGTAGAGTAGTTCAAATATTAGTTATGCCCTTAAATTGTGATAGATAAACTAATTTTATTTTTATATTCAATTGCGATTGGTTCCACAGGAAATATTTTTCAAGTAAGTTCATCTTGTTTTTTTAAATAATTTATAGAAAACCCATTCAAAATAATGTAAATCATATTTAAATTATTACGAATAAATTAACCAACTTAAAAAAAGTATAATAAATTATTTCAAAATATTTCAAACCCCGGGCAATTATATTTATAAAATAAAGTTTTGTTTTCCTTATCATCCAAAACTACTTATTGAATTTTAATTGGAATTGACTTAACCAGTAAATGAGTGATGTAGTTGGAATACAGCCGTGGTTCACCGAAATTTTTAATTTGTTTCAACAAAACCATAATTAAAAATTCATGTTGTTAACATTAATTATTTTTCTTTTATTCTTGTTTCACCTGCGAAAGCTGACGCCAAAGCAGCCAAAACGAATGACAGCACAACGGCTGGCCCGGCTTCTATTCTGGCAACATTTCCAGCGAGTACATAAATGCCTACGCCCAACGTAGACCCAACGCCAAGAAACGTCAAATCCATTAGGTTGAGGACCCTGGCCAATTTCTTCTTGTTTGGTTGATCAATAAGTATGTCATTCTCGTTTTTCCGCCTAAACAACACCTGGTACAGGGTTTCTCGCTGGAAAAAAAATTATCAGTCTCGATATTATTATTGTCAATCGCACTCGCGTAAAATTGTTTACATGCAAAAAAACTGAAGAAAATTAATATAATGAATCTAGTTGTCGATTTAAATATTTTAACGAGTAATTATTTAATATTATTTAAAATTAAATAACTGTGTTCGCAACTACTTGAAAAAATAAACGATTACATAAAACTTGCTGATATTTATTTCAATATATTGGAAGTATACATTAAAAATAATATTTTTTTTTAATTTTTGTAACTGAATAATGATAAATAGAATAAAAAAGTATTTAGAAGAAATTATTTCAAAAAATATAAGTTTCGATTAAACTTGTTATTACAAATTTAACTAAATAATAATTTATCATACGGAAGTATTAATTCTTTCAGATTATTACATTTTATTCTAAACTTCTTTAAAAACCGTGCATTCAAATTTCTTACTCAATTTTACTGTGTTTTGAGTAATTATTTTCTTTATTTCCGATTTCATGTACAAGTTGTTTATAATATAACTTTGGTAGGCGTACCAGAAGTCTGCCTTTCATATATCATAGAATGGTTAATAGAAAATACTAGAATATTTATAGAAATTTAAAATTATTTATTTATCTTAAGCATTTGGAGTTTAAAAACTATTTTGTAGTTATAAATGTGTGCTATTTTTAATTTCAATACTTAAATCTTAAAAGTATATTAAATTTTTTTACTTCTGAAATAATAACAAAAAAGTTAAGCATAATTTTTTATTAGCATTTGAAATTAAAGTATTGACTACATTTGATATTTAAAACTAAAATAATTTTTTGGCATTTGATGATTTTTGATATTTAGTTGTAATTCAAAAATATTAATAGTAGTAATTTGAAATAGTTTAATATGAATTAATATAATAGAGATTTAAATTCAATTTCTATATTAATTAGGAATAGTGGTTCCCAACTTCTCCTATTTTACGCCCCTCTTTGTAGATTTTCGTAAATCTCGCGCCCCCTCCTATAAATTGTAAAAATTCGATCATCTTTTTTAGTGTACTTTACATATAAACTATCTATATTTTATATTCTATACAATATTCGGAATGACAACTTTTTTATTGATGATAATCATTATGAAATATAAATAATAGTAATAATAAATAATAATAATTTTAATGCTGACAATACTTTTCATTCGACAGTTTTTTTATGCTTGGTTCAATATTTGATAGATTAATTTACAGATAACGTGATATAAAACGATTAAGTTACACGCTGCGGCCAAACATTTATAATCTTTATCGGTTATCTGTTATTGATACTCGATAACAGATAAAGATTTCCAATCAAATATTTTTCTCTCAAGTTTTAAAATAAAAATAATTTAATCAATAAAAACTGAGCGTGCCCCCCCAGTTTGGGAACCAGTGATTTAGAACATCAATATAAAATTTAAAAATCTGAAAAATGATGAAAAAAAATGATAAAAAAATTGTATAAAATTTGATTTTTTTAAAATAATACCTACTCGAAATAACGTTTAAATCGAAAAAAATTAAACATATATCATTCATATAAGACTTATAATATTTTTTTTATTAATTTTTTACGGGAAAATCGATTAAAAATTTAAAGAAAAATTAATTAAAATTCAATAATAGCCAATTTGGTTATATTGTTTACTAGTAGGTAATACCTACTTAACACTATTAGTATTTTCTCAGGTGGTTTTACAATCACGTATATCGAACATGTAAGCAACGACCCTACACATAAGGCGTAAGTATATAAAAAAACTATAAATCAAATCTAAAATTGTAAACACATAAAAACAAAATTTTAAATTTAAAAATAAATCATGTTTAAAATTTAATAACAAATCAGAAAAAAAAATTATTCCATTTTTAAACCCTGACTAAAGTTATTTTTTTTTTTTTACATAATAAAGATTTTAAAATAGTTATAGTAAATTTAATTTGTTTGTAGCATTAGCCTATAACTAATTATTGTATAATATGTGCATTACTTTTATCAAAAATTAGTTCAACCTACAATTACTATATTGGATAATAAATAAATTGCTAATATTAATATTAAATATGAATTATAAAATATTGTTATAATTAGAGCTTGCTCACGCAGTCCCACAACTCAACTGACTTCGTTTGCAATGACTTGTCACTGAATTCAAATAGTTTATAACACAATAATATCCATTATTTACTCAAATGCACTGTTGTAGGATAACTTTTTCGGTTGTTTTAAAAATGTATATTATAGTAGTCCGCTAGTATAAGCCGAATGAATACATGACGAATATATGACGCATCATATTATAATAAATAATTTTATACGCCTATTATTGTCCGGTCTGGGTTCAACGGCAGCTGTTAGAATAAGGGCAGCTGACTATTAATTTTACAATTTTTTTTTGTATAGTTAACGGCGTATTATTGTTTACGAAATATTATATTCATATGATAGAGTCGTGCTTTTTAAGCTTTTGCCGAGTTTACCGATGAACTATGTGTAACATAGTCACACACGTAGTACGTTATAAATGTTATAATCATTATAATATGATATTGCGATACTATCGAGTCACGATAGTCTCTGATATTATTCACACTAATCACATACATAGAATTCAATAATATACATACCAACTTTATCATGACGTCGTTGTCGATCCGGCACGTAGATCACAATAATTGGACGTATCGTTTTTTCGACAATATAAACGCTTGGCCCGACCAAGAGATTTAGTAGACAGACTGACGCCAAGGCCTTGCAGCGTCTTGTAGGGTGTTGCAGTTATTTCGACTCGCCCGACGTGAACAACCACAAGGTTTAAATTACTATTATTTTTTTTACTTCACTGTGTATTACGTTTACTCAATACAAACCGATAAACTGTTTAACTATTGATCGTAACCCTGTATCTCGTAAAATATATTATAAATTAATTAATAAATTGTCACTACTATTATTTTAGCACGACTGTTCGTTTATAGCGTTTTTAATTTTTTTTTGTAAACGTTTGTTGACCGTCTATCGTCGTCGTCGTTGTCTATTGCGCCGGTGGACCACGCGTGCGTCCGTATACGAATAACATTAAGCCATATACACGCAGCGCTCGTGGCTTTAATATCCCTGCCGGTCGTCAGTCTAGCGCTCCTAGTGATCAAAGGGGGTTATTTGCAAACATTTTTTCTACCGAATCGCGTGACCGTTCCGTATTATAATATGCCAACATTATTACTAAAAAAATACTAGTAGTGACGGACCAAGGAATTTTTTTTATTATTATTACTATTATTAACCGAATATAAGAAAATAATTTGATAAATATTGAACTCTTATATTTTGAGTAATTGTTATTTACTGTAATACAGTAGAACCTCGATTATCCGAACCTTCTATTATTCGAACTACAATTAGCGTATCTAAACATTTTATTATTCGAATTTTAAAACTCGTTGAAGCACTCGTATCGATAATTTTGTTTGTTAAAAATTAGGTATCATTAACATAATATGTGCCCATGTATGTAATGTATTTCTAATAATATAATTAATGTAATAACATATTAATAATAATAACAATTAATATGTAATATAAGATATTAAACTGCGTTTTAAAAACTTATTAATTGGGGTTTTTTTTTAATTCCCAACACCCGAACTTTTGCGTATCCGAACTAGGTGCGGTCCAAATTAGTTCATAATATAATCGAGGTTCTACTGTACTTAAATCTTTTTCTATTTTATTTTATTTTTTTATTTTTTTTTTTTACTATCCGAAACATAAAATAATTTTATATTATTTTTTATTAAGTTGAGTTATGCCATAAAACAACCATTATTTAGTGTTGCGCAGATTTGAATTTTACTGTGAATAAAATGTAATTATTGTATCGTTTTAATATTTTAAATACAAAAAGCAACATCATAGTATAATATTGTGTATTAAATTATTATTATATAAATCATGCTAACAAGTAAACTTCATAATAATTAACAAAAAAAAAAATGCTTTATATATATATATTTATATAATAATTTATTATAAAATCAATGATAATATAAACTGATTAGTATGTAATACTTTTTGAAAGTTTTTACTGGCTATCAAAAATTTTGTAAAAAAGGCATAAGTTATCATTTATCTCACTATGTTATGAAAACCAACAATGCGTTTAATAAAATCACAGACAAGATGCATAATTTATATATTATTATATATTTTTAATAAGTATTATAATAATAAAATGTACAAAAAGTAATACGTAAACCAAGATAATCAATAATATTATTTTAATATTACATTAGTTTTTCATTATAAACATAAATATAAAATAAGTTTGAACTTTACGAACATATAATTATCAATTATCTATCATGAAATAATATTATAATAATACCCTCAGATTTCATACTTTACAATTGTATGTAAAGAAAATTTAATCATTTTTAGGCAGTAGTAATATCATATATATATATATATATATATATTAATAAAGATTTTAATGTTAATACATGTGTAAGTATATGACGTATATGTACACGTATTCATTTTTTTCTATTTATATCATTAAAGATTATGAATAATTAATATTATATTAAAATTCTACAAAAATATAGAAATATAAATATTTTTTACGAATATGTACTAAAATTTATATTAATAAACATTTAATTTTAAGTCAAGTTGAATATAACGATCACAGTTAAAAATCGCGTTTATAATAATATATTATTATGAATTTATGGATCATTATACGAGTATGTGCGTAAAATAATTAAATAAATTGAATATTATTAAGTTAAATATTATTGAAAAATAAGAAGTACTTCCGTTTAAATTGATAGGAGAGTGGTTGCATTCATTAAAAAAAAAAAAAAAAAAATAAGAATAAAACAAAAAAAACATTTATTTTTTTTTATCGTTTATCACTACAATACGTACTCTTAAATTGTATTCAGTTTATTTGGACTCATTTTGATATTTAAGAATTTTAAACAAACAAATAATTCAAATAGGTATCATAATATATCTGAAAACATATTAACTTAAAATACGTATTTGTTCAAAACTAAATATTAACACAAGTATTAATAGTTATAATATTATAATAATAGTACTTATGTATAGAGTTTGGATATTATAGGCTATAGCTCTATAAAACGTTAAATAAAACACTTAAAATAAAATAAGAAGTACTAAAATCCTTAAACTGAGATAATTACTTATACAATATAAGCAATTAATAAAATTATATGTATTTTTCAAAATAGATAATGAATCACTTGATATATTTGATTATGATTCCAGTGTATGGTTATTAAATAAATATCTATACAATTAACTGGATAACTTCGGTTTGATTTGAATTGTGTTTAACTGCATTTTTTGCTTATTACCTTCCAAACTATGATTAATACCGTAGAACAAATATATCAATAATCCTGTAAACAATAAAATGTAAAATTTTAAATAAACATTTAAAATAAAGAAGAATTTAATAAGTGCTTTAAAAAAATTATATATCAATTATAATCATTATATTGATAATAATATGTATCTAAAATTACAAAATAAATACTTACTAAGGTCATCTATTATTTTCAATTATATAATTTGCTATAATAAATGCTATATGATATATATTTTTATAATTTTCTTCTTGAGATTTAATATGTAACATCAATGAAGTATACACATGTTATAAACACGTGTATTAAATACTATAGTACTTGTATAATATAATAATTTAAATTATAGCAGTATAACAAACATTTTGTTACTAAACAATAACGTTACATATTTTTGAAAATAATAATAACTTTATATTTATTGTATATATGAACTAATCTAGTAAAATATTATTACTAAATATTTGAAAGTTGAGAAATTAAAAAAACAAAAACAAAAAAAAAACTAGAAAGTTGCTCTGTTTTTGTCATTGAATAGGTTACTATAATTATTGATTTGTTGAAATTGAATTCATTGCATAAGAAAAACTATTCTAAATGGAAGATGGTCTATGATCTTTAATTTCTAAAAATAATATATAAGTGCATTTAAACTAAATAGTTTTAATTATGGATGTCACTTTTGTAAATCAGTTGCTAGTGAAGTTCACAGAAACTTATTTAACTGTGGAATAAAGAAGATACTAAATGCAAAAATAATCAGAATCTAAAACTGGGTGTACTCGTCATATTTTTATAGTTAAAGAACAATTTACTCTATGAAAACACGAAATTAATATTAAATTTTATGTATTTTGCGAGTATTACGCACAAATTTGCGTACATTTTGTTAAAAATGTATTTATATATAAATATATGTACTAACCACATATAAGCCACACAATGAACCTTATCCAAGTCTTGTACTCTAGTTCCATCATTAAATAAACGTTTAATACTATGCTCAAACATGGTATAATGGGAACCAAAGGCACCTAAAATAATAATATAAATTAAGTTATTTGTATTATTTTTATTTTTTCTTGTGTTAAACATTTTCAATCAATTGTAATTTGTACATGTGTTAAAAACATGATTCTTTAGAAAAAACTACTGTAATTAAACAATATTCTTCAAACTAAATTTGAAAACCCACAATTTTTGTATTTTCTTAAACAAATATATTCATACCTTAAACGATAGATCTTCTTGAGCTGTTGGAAGTCTACCCAACATAAACAATGTAATCAACAGAACCAGAAGTGATATTACATTTATAATCATAAGTGTGTTTCTTATGTTGCCATGATGTGATTCCATATTTGATAAGCTTATTCCAAACACAAATGTACATACGGCTATAATAAAATATAGTTTTCAAATATACATTTAGTGTAACCATATTTTCCTCTAAAAGAGATGAACTTTAAAAAAAATATTTAAAAATTAAACTTAATATATCCAGTTAAAAACGCTTATTTCTTAATTATTGTGCTCTCTAATTTTATTTATAAATAATATAACTATAAATTTGAATATTGATTTAAAAAAAATAATAATTACATGTATTACATTTAAAATATAAATTTATAATTGATGATCGATTACCTACTGTTCCTTGTTTTATAACAATATGACATATGATTATATTTATAGCGGATACCGTAGTATTACCGTAAGAATAAACTGCCTACTTTAAAGCAATACAATATGTCGTGTCAATTTAGTACATACGTATTGACTTAAATATTTTTACATAGCCATTATTCATAGTAGGTATCTAAGCTTAACTATAATATTATATGATATAAAAACATCGCCAACTTTTTTATATGCATTTAAAATACACGTAGATACCTATATTATCAAACTTTTGATATTATCAATATTATATTACAAGACTATTTTATCTATAAAATTAATTTTTAAGTATCTATATAGATTAACAACTTGTTGAAATAATTTTAGAATTCATGTATTTAATGATCGGTAAATCAGTTTTAACTTTTATGATATTGTAGCTATTATATATTATTTTTAATTTAAGATATTATAGCAATTATATTATTGCAATTTTCTTATATTAAATTATGTGAGTTATTAAAATTGTTAGTATGATATCGCGTAGCCAAGCTGTGTTTAAATTAAATTAAAATAGAAGGGCAAAATTAAAAATTAAAAAATATGCGACTTAATTTAAGAGAAAAATAATTTTAGTACATATTATTGAAATTTAATAATAAAAAAAGCCAATAGTAAAACAAAAATTATTATAGTTAACATTTTTAGAGTTGACTCGTGTAGTTATGTGTAGTACGAGCAATCGGCAATGTTTAATTCATTTTTTATATCATACTGCTCATTTAAATCGAGCAGTACCTATCATAGTGCCCTTTAAATTACTTAACATATATTATACATTCTTACAAATTTATTATACAATGAGTTAGTTGTCTATATTATACCTTTATGATTGACTTCCACATAACGAACTTTCATTTAATGAAATTTTGTCGAGAATCAACTAAATAAGAACCAAATTTATCTAATACTATTAAAACATTTCTCTATAATGTGATTATTTTTCCTCGTGAGAGTACACAATATGAAAGTTTACATACTATACATATTATTTTATAATTTGTACTTTCTAATGATGTATAAATAATTATCTTAAATGTTAACATTACGACATTAATTATACATTATATTATTATTTTCTTTTTGGCTTTGGCCATACTCTAATATAATGTTTTGAATAATTATCAAATCACTTAAGTAATTTATTTTTTCCTAAAATACTTATAGGTTTTTTATATAGGGTGTCTCAGCCCCCCCCCCCCCCAATCATCACTACACGCGATCGCTTGGGTCCATGAAATTTTTATCATCCGATGAGATATTGTTCCATCAAGTTCTTAGAGAACAATTTATTTTTTAAGATCCAACAAATTGCGTGGTTTGTCCCGGTAAACTCATGACTTTATATATCCTCATAGGAAAAAATCAAAGGGTGTCAAGTCGCAAGATCGAGGTGGTAGGTTTGGTCACCACGCATTTGATGAGGTAATATGTGATCGAGTGATGAAGAATTTTATAGACTGAGTGATCGCGTGTTTTGTTAATTTGGGGGGGGGGGAGGAGAATATGCTCTATATTATTTTTCATGTTTAAACATTAAGCTTTCCTGAAGAGAATAATATGTTTTTTTTTTTTTTACATAAATAAATTTGATCTATAGCAGTTTTAATAATTTTGATTCTTTTAATATCAATCGTAGTTGTTTAATAATGACAGTAATATAATTAATAATTCATAATGGGCTATGGACGCTATGGTATTACTATTGTATTGATAAAATATCAGTTACAAATAATATGATAATAGACAAACTAATTATTATGTATAATATATCTGATCTTTAAAAATTTAGAACTGTAAATAAAAACAGTTTTGTTAGAAAAAATGTGTTCGTTTGTTGTAGACGTCATCAGAAGCAGAATTGCATCACCCCCTTTGGTCGTTCGATGCTTCTATGAATAATATGATGCAATCGCAACGGTTGGATTGTCAGAAAAACAGTACTTAGGGACGCAGTTGTAGTGGATAGAAAACTACATAACGCTGTACACTTTAATATTATATACACATTTTATGAACCCTATACGAAATCGGTAGACTATTAATAAAAAATTAATTGAATTAATTAAATATAAATTAATTAGAAATATATTGTTTTATATTATGAGTTGAGTAAGTTATTGAAAGAGTAGTATAAAAGTTTTAATAATGTCATTTTTTTTAACTAGATGGTAAAATCGGTAAAATATGTATATACATATATATATATATATATAGATCTAATTTCCTATCAACCAAATATAGTTGAATATAGAAGTATTTTTAATTTTTTTGCTCTTAATGATGACATTATTAAAAATAATAATAACAAATGAAAATAAAACACACTAGGAATTAATATTGTAAAACCAACATCATTCATTCATTCAGATCAAAATTTGAAAAAAAAATTATTGGTTTCATACAAATTATTATACTTTTTGGGATTTGATTAGAATTAAATGATAATAAATTTAATATGAGTAGCTTGACCTTATGCTTATAGGATAGGTACATAATTTGTTTCACGATTATAATAGTTCTTCGTACATATATATATATACATATATATATATATATATATATATATATATATATGTATAATTTGCTACACACATTGTTATAATACACAATATATTATTATTATTTTAACGATAATAACATGTAGTTATATACTTATATTACGTTATTAAATACTGTGCATAATTATAATTCATTAAAAAAAGGGTATAATTTATTATGTTAAAAGACGATTATAACTATTATAATATATTTATAGAGATAAAATATTATGCTACGATATAAATTAAATAGAAAGTTTATTCAAAAAAGGTGTATGTGAATTTACTTGATGATAAAAAATATTTAAAATCTAACCTATACGGCTATACCTATAGCTAATGTGAAGAACAGGAAACTACAGGTTTTAATATCCATTATCAATTATTTATTTCACAATTTCCCACTTTAGAGTTAAGTTGAATCGCATATTTTCTGTTTAATAAGTTGGAAAAAATATTCAAGAGTAATTTGTGACGAAAAAATGTAATTAATACGAACGTAAATAATTAAAAAGCACAATTAATGTTAATTTTAAAAATAACGTACTATTTTTTCGATACAAAGTAATAAGGGTAATAAGGGCTTTATTTTTAATAATTTTACAATTTTACTAGATATTTATTAGTATTTAAGCTCAAAGGCATTTATATTATTTTAATACTCAAAATTTCATTTTTATAAAATTATTTTTTAATACATCACACAATGTGTAAAATTATAAAAATTATTCATAGCATTAAAATTTTAAATGTCACCTTAAAAAGCTAACTCAGGCGTGTGTTCAAGTCGTCTACCTCTTGAGCCAGGTTTGTATATATCATAAAATCTAGCTTCCTATTTTTTTAGGCTTAAATCATTAATGACATGCCAATATGGTTAAACCACTTATTTTATTTTTACCTCCGCGAAATCGTACCATTAATTTTAGGCTATAGGTATTATAATACGTATAGTAGGTACCTATAATAGTTGTATATAATAATATTATATTATGGTGTATACATTAAAAATGTCTTATGTTTATTTTCTCAGAATTAACATTGAGAATTTGACCATAAGATATAATTGTAATTTGAAATTTGTTGTCAAAACATTTAAAAGTCAATTATTATAGCCAAAATGCATTTTAACGTTATTAAAACACCTCTCTATAATCAAATATTTTTTTGGAGCGCAAATAATTATTTTTTTTAAAACATGTTAAAAGGGAATCTTCCTCTCCTTCGTAAAGCCATTGGTAGTTAAAAAAAAAAAAAAAACGGATAGACTAAAACGGCTATTGCTGTAAATATTTAACTGGGGAGAAAAAAACACCTACTGTAATTGTTTAGAACGCGTGATAATAAGATCAATGGCCTATCCAATATGTATTATCAACAAATAATCGGTAAGTGAACAATCCGTATTATATACCAATGATAATGCACATAGATAAGCTGGTAGAGACAGTAAAAAGTAGGTTCACTTATTCTGATAAGATATAACAATAATATTATAAGAATAATACGTACTAAATATCAATATCAACATCCTTGAAACGTATTGAGTGTCGGCGTTCGGCACTTTAGCGTTCGAAAAATTCAACCATGTGTAAACCGTAATCGATTTTGACTGCGGTAAGTTGTCTTGGATGGATGGGCTATTATCGGTGTACCTGTTATAAAAATAATTTAATAATGTATTTAGTTTCACTCTTAAAACACTACACCCGCAGTCTTCCAACTAACCGCAGTATCAACACACATATGCAAACGATCGTATAGGCCTGAAGAGTGCCGATGGATGCCATATCGATGAGCTGCTCGAGATTGAAGACTGTAGCCAACGTTCCTGTTAACAAGGTATAAAGGTAATAATATGAAAATACAATTATTGTCAGGTCAATTGACGACAACAAGACGTGTTCGCGACTTAATAATATTACCTGCGAAAACTCCGCAAATGATCGTAGATATTAGAGGGGTTTTGGTCGTAGCGTTTATATTCGATAAGAACTTGAAAAGTAAACCGTCACTGGCCATTGCGTATAAAATGCGAGGCAGTGGAAATATTGCACCCAAAAGACTGTATAATGATAATATAAAGATACAAAATAATAAAAAAAAAATAATAAGTTGATAACGACAACGACAACGTTATATTATATCATTATTTATTGTGGAAGCACGTACCTCGTGCACAGTGCAAATATTGCACCACCCGAGACTATAATCTTTACCGTAGGCATTCCCAAATTTTCATAGAGAGCAGGAAGTGGTGCATCTGGATCCTGAAATAGTGAATCGATATTAAAATAATATAGCAACGTGTATACTATATGTGTACGTTTCTCCCATCATTATATATATTTTTTTTACGAATATTTAGTATGTTATTAGTCTACCTTTACTCAGAATTTGATGAAATTTAAAAAATAATTTTTCCAGCAAATTTTATATACCAAACAAATTTTGAGTAAAGAAAATCAAATTCAAACTAACCAATTTAATATTCGAAACAAAAATAATCATGAAATTTCGATGGTGAAGGCAGGCAAAATGCAAGTACGTATGTAGTATGTACTGTTTGTGGACAATATTTTTTTTAAATAAAAATTGTTAAAAAATAAATGCGTCGAAAGCATACCTGTGAATAGTAAGGCCACATGAGTGTTAAAACAGTGGCCACTCCACAATAAGCGATCGTGCTCAAAAACAGAGACGCAATGATAGCCAATGGTATATCTCTTTTGGGATTCTTAGTTTCTTCGCCTTTCAATAAAAATAAAAAATAAATAAATCAATCGTACAGGATCGGTATGATTACAATTGAATACAATATAATACCCACCAGTCGTGGCAATCGAATCGAAACCGATGAATCCGTAAAAACATTTCGCAGCTCCAGCTGCTACACCGACCCATCCAAATGGTAAGAAACCACCTTCGCCGCCTTTTGCTTCAGGTGGTATTTCGCTTTTCGGAATAGACCAGTTTGAGAAATTGGCTGAAATTGTACGTTTCACCATTATTATTATTGTTGTTGTTAAATATAAGCATTCTAAGTTTGAGATCAAATTTTGATTATAACACTCACCTTTATAGAACCCGGTAACAATAACGGTACAAACGGTAATCAGATTCAATGCGGTAAATATATTGTTGGTAAATGATGATTCACGAACACCCCAAGCTACCAAAACTATAAAAGTAATGTAAAACAATCAAATTAGTAAGATATTCTTCTTCTTCTTCTTCTTCAAAAAAAAAAAATACTAATTTATAATAAGCAATTAAATTGATAAACATAATCATCAATTATTAAAAAAAATTCGATTTTCATTCCAAAAATTCTTGTACAAATTTTTAAATCATTTAATTTTTACTATTACAGATACCTAACAGCAATCGATTGTTAGAATGAAAACATATTCAATAATATTTCATATCTAATAAAATAAGTTACATAATATTGAAAACATAGGTAAATGTTACTATATAATAATAATAGTATATTAACTTGTAATAGTGTAATATAACATATATTATTAAATATTTGAAAAAATTGGTTAAGTAAATATCTCATTGATAAAAGTTATTAAAATTATTATTAAAATATCTAATATTAATAGAAAACTAAATAACTTATGGATTATTTATAAAAGCTATGCTTTTTGTTTAAATATTGTTTTAAATTTCTTATAAAAAAAAACTATTCATTCTCTTGGATTTTTAGTGATGTTTTATTGATAAGCTCTAAAATTAAAACAATTTTTAGCTGCATTTCGATAGTCAAAGAATTCATATTTGTTATGTTTTGTATATTATTATATTTGTGCATATTAAAACATTATTCTAACAAATTGTTAAAATCATTTAAACTAATAAATTATGATGATAAAAATACAATATTTTTAAAATATTTTTACATTTTAAATATGTAACAATCATCGGTAGTATACTTCAATTAAATATCGATAATAAACAATTATTATTAACTGTCGTTGAATGTGAATAGATTACATTCGGGCATTTAACTCGTTATATTACATTCATAACATTCAATTAAAGACGATTTAATTGCTTTATTAATTATTATATATGTACCATAATCATCTAGACGCACTTCAATAGACGAGTAGATGTATAATATTGTGTCCCTGTTTTAATATAACCGCTAAATTAAAATGTATCTGTGCAATGTCTCATTGTCACAGACATCGAACCTCTAACAGATTTTATTCATTGTACAACTTCCTCTCCAATAAAAACGACGACGAGTAAATTATCATTTGTCCTCACGGGATTCTACTTTGCTATAACGAATTTGAGATCTAAATACCCAGTTTACTAGATTTTGACTATCACATGGCATCTATAAAGACGGTCTCTTATAAAGACGTAATCATTCCACGACTTTCCGCCAAAATATAGAGCAAATTAATATACAATAATTATTATTACTAATCGAAACTGTCACGCCAATTACATTCTCTCCGTAGACTACATAATGTCCTTTCTAGTTTTTGTGACTGAGCGATCGTGACTGGAAATATATTCATTGTGTTCGAAGGGTTAACTAGCAACTCCTCAATATTATTAATTATTATTAACCATCTCTTTCGACACTGACATGTATTTCGTAACATAATTATACCAACTTTTTTATCACTTAAAATTTATGTTTTTGGCATATCATATTTTTTTTTTTTTTGGAATATTAATTTTAAACACTGCCTATACATATTTACAATATCGCTGTAATTATATATAAATATACATTTACTAATACTTATATATATGTATATTATATAATGTGAATATATTAACACTTACACGCGATGGCAACGATCACGACAAATGACGCAATATCGGGATAATCAGCCAAAAAACTGATGTGCATTGGAAAATTTTCAATCATATATCTTCTTTGTGGGCTACCCAGCAGAGAATCGCAGTAATTGCTCATGGCCTTGGCTACAGACGCGGTACCTGTAAGTTATCAATAAAAACCAATAAAGAATAAATGGGGTGGCGTTGTAGAAAACCAATAAAATAGTATTGTGAAAAAATCGTAAAATTTTGAATACTTCCAGAGAAATATCATAAATGAGGATCATAACATTATTGTCTATCGCGTGATTTGGACAAGTAATGCAATCGATAATATAGTTTTACTTAGCGCCGCACACTCAGATGTCGTATGAGTTGCATAACGATTATCCCGTACCAAACATATGACAATAGTAAAGTTAACAATATTATTTATTAAATGTGAAGTTTGCAAAATATTTGTTTTTTTTTTTCTCAAATCCACATGAAACACAGATAAAACGCACTTGTGTAAACTCATTTTTTATGATTTTTTTAAACATTTTTAGAGTAAAATCACCTATTACAAAAATTATTGAGATTAATATTTTTGAGGGTTTGATATATCAGTTTTATATTATCAAAAATATTATCATCTATAATTATTATTGTAATGGGCAATATTATTCTAAGATTATTCAAAAACAAAAACGAAAAATTATTTTACGTAAATTAACTTTTTCCATATTGCACGTGAGCCACAGAAAGAAAAATAAACAGTGCGTTGGCATCTTTTTAAGAGTACAATGATACGACTACTTCACACCCGTGTTTTTTTTTGTCTTATGGACGTAAAACGTAGCAAATTTTACATTCATAATAATCCCTTTTACTCTATTAATCTTAAAATCAGAGTGTGAATTGTTTTATTAAATAGTTTAAAAATATAGTTATTATCTAGGGTATCTCGGAGGCTTTTATTAATATTTTAGTTAAAAAATTATGATCATAACTTAAATTAAATACTAATAACTTAACTTCGTAATTCAAATATTATTAAAAACCTTAGCAATTCATTACAGGATAATAAATTTAGTAATATAAACCTATATAATCCTCTAAATTTTAAAAAAAGTGAATTTAATTTAATTTTAAAATAATAAAGAAAAATTGATTACTATATACGTAAAATGTGTGTACCTACGTATGTTATATGCTTATAAGATGGAAACAATGCATAACCTAACTTATGCGAATATGGCGTTCTTTATTAATAATAACTAATAATTATTATCGCCATTGTTAATCATTATTTTTTTATTCTCTATATAAGGGTATAAAATATCGGAGAAAATCTTATCGGAGCTATACTTTATTGATGATTAATATTACCGATGAGATGTTCAATGAGTAGATTCCAGCCGATAACGAACGCAGTGAATTCTCCAACCGCCACGTAACTGTAGATATACGCAGATCCAGCTTTGGGTACTCGACCAGCGAACTCGGCATAACACAATCCTTAAAATATTCATGTCAATGCAATACTATATTAGCTGTTGATTTTCTTTTTTATATCACAAAACAGTTAACGCATGGTTATAGATTACATAGCAATAAAATTAAAATTAAAAAAAAAATTAAAACTTTATCTTTGTCATTTTTTTTATTGACAATGATACGATATAGTTTATTATTTTAGAAATATTGTGTTGTGATGACTTCTTCAAATTATATGTAACCTACTAAAATAAAAATGTTTTCAAAAAGATAATTATTAAATATTAATAAATTATTGTGATAAAAAAAATCATCTTATACATTATTATAGAAGCGGATAACTTAGTAATGCAACAATTTCACGTGGATGATAAAATGTGTTAGAAATTATTGGACAATATATAATGGAAAAATGTTTAACTTTATTTTAACCAGCAAGAAAGTTTAGACTTTTAGATTTCTAAAATCATACCGTGAGCAGTGTAAATACAAAAATCTTCAACAAATAAAATGTCAAATGTGATGCCAAATTTTTGACTGTAAGACCACACCACTACTCAGTAAGATTATTATAATATAAAATATTATTAATGTAAAGATCTTAAGTTTTTGAATTATTTTTAGGTATTTATTTATATCATGAAACAATTGCAATAATTGTATTTTTACATTAATAGCAAGTTATTAATTTAATTTTGGAAAAATATTCAGAAAATAATAAATTTATCTAGTCAATAGTTGAATTATTGTATTCCAAAAATAGCTTAATAGCCATTTACAATTCAAAATGAAACAAATTACTTATTATTCATAAGTTATAAATAATATGAAACTTAAACCTATATACATTTTTACTCAAATATATAAAAAAAATTTTACAGAATTTAAGCATACGAAACGTTGATATATTTAATCTGTAGAGTATTTATTGAAGTAAATGTTGAAGAATATGCATTTTAGCATTAATTATATTAATATTCGGTCCCTGATCATTATCAAATAATAGGTTCTTATTATATAGGTAATAGATCCGTTCCTCGTATCCAGTGTAACAATGTCTTAGAAAATTGTATACAGAGTACCTAAATCACAAAATTTGCTCATCCGTTTTTTATTCAATAAATAATAATGCAGTTATTCAAAATTTGATTTTGGAAACTTTTTATTTTACCACGTGATACTACATAAGTAATACAGAAAAATCTTTAAGATTAGAAAGTATGTCTCTAAATATATTTAAAATTCTAAAAATCAGAACTTTAATAAATTCATTATTTAAGATCAATATAATGATAAGTATGTTTAGTGAATCACCATATATACAGGAAGTACTTCTTCTCGTTATAATTGTATATTGGATACTATTAAGTCAAGAGGTAAGTTATTATTTTGGAATAATTGCATCATACTCTCTAAATTTACATGGAATAAGATTGAAATTATTCGATGGCAAATTTTGACTCGGCGTCACCGGTTTGAAAATTAATTCTATAGAAATCGGTTATTTATCCTTACCGGAAAACGCAGATACTACAGCGGCTATGGCGAAAGACAGGACTACGGCTGGACCGGCGATCGATTTAGCTACTGCGCCGGCTAACACGTACACTCCACATCCCAATGTTGAGCCAGTACCCAGTGCGGTCAAGTCAAAGAAAGTCAACACCCGATTGAGTTTTTCTTTGTTCGGTTCATCCGAGTCAGTTTTTTTCCTTGTCAACGCCCATGACAACGAATCTGTCTGTTAGTACATAATATTAAAACGGTATCAGATCTGACATAATTTGATATATATAAAATAATTTATTATATTTTATCAGGCGATTTTATTTTGAAATAAAAAGATTAAAATGTGACAATACATCTTCGACATTATCAGATAATAGCAATTAAAATATTATAATATACTAAAAAATTGTGGTTTAGAAAGGGATAATATCTTTTAAAGTTTAGCTATGGTTATTATTTTTGTTTTATTAATATATTTAAATCATAGATAAATATAATAAAACATAATCGCATCATTCAATTTAATTAAGAAAAAAGTTAATTTTATTTTATTTGAGGACAAGCCCACTGATACAGTAAGATTTATTGAGAGAATATTGTACAACATTAATCTCTCTGAGACTTATTTTGACTTTTTAGAAATTTTTTAATGTCAAAAACTTTTATTCTTATTATTTTTTTAATTAGCTTTCAGTTTAACACTATTATAGAAAATATTATTATAATTATACATATTTGAATAATAGAATTATATTTCGTACATTAAATTAATCATAGCTTAGAATTCACTATAATTTATAATAATTTATAAGCTATATTTAATCGCGTTGTATCATGTGTAATGTATACACATCGTGGTTTTATAATTAATATATATACAAAATAAGATATAATTTTCAAAAGTAATTTATACAATGCACCATGATATAACAATGTATAATTTTACAGCAAAAAGTATTTTATTTTTTGCTCGATTTGATTTTTCTATGAGTACCTAACAATAATTATAATAATGAAAAAAAAAAAAAACCTCAAAATATTAAACGCAGCGAGGACATGACAATTATTAAGTACAGGAATGGATGTAATAATGGAATTGTGAAGTTAAGTATAAATACATAGTACCTAGTAAGAAATAAATGATATAAATATGATTATATCCGCATCGTTGATAGGAGTAAAAGTAACAAAATTCTGAAGAAAACATTACATCATTATGTTCGTAAACTTCTTAACAGTATAAAAATGAATATTTGTTTTCAAAAAAAACTGAAAACCACTTTAAACGTAAATGACTTTAATTTTTTGTAACAAACAATTATCCCATCTATTTGTACATACATTATGTATGATATTTAAAAGTTATGCCATTTTCATAATGTTTAACGTGAAACATAAATCATGTATTATTTATGTTCACCGACACATGACATTAAATACAACTCATCAAACATATTTTATGAAAAAAAAATATAATTTTTACAATTTTTAAGTTGGTTGTTACTATAATATTAGTTATGCGAATATTATAACAAAATGTCGTGTAAAGTATAAACATTGATACTCAAATGGAAAAAATATCGTTATTTTTGAAAATGTCTTGAAACACATTGATGTAGTATTATTTTCATATCTTATTTGTTTTCTTGAGTTTTACACCTATGTAAATACCCTTAGTAACGAATACATAAAATAAATGATAAATTATACACAAAGGTTATACGTCATCAATGAAAATATTATACAAACAGAAAATTGTGTTTATATTTTATTATTGTTGGGTAATCACAAATTTCAAATTAATAATTTCTTAAATAATTTTTAGAGCAATACTGTTATCATTCTGTTGTATATTCAGCATTTTATATTACATTATATTACACGTATAGTATTTAATATTTAAATATAATCAGCAGTATCATATTACGATCGGTGGGGACTGTCCATCGATTATTATTGTGTAAAATTACAATGTAAAGCATTACGATTTATGCTGTTAATAATAAAGGTCTATAAAACACGTTTATGTTGTTATTCATAGTAATAATACTTAACACATTTCAATACTTACTTATTCCTTAAGCTTATCTAACACTATAGAGTAATAAATTTATAGAGTTATTTAGTATTAGTTTTATTAATTTAATACCGTGTATTATATTTACGATATTTAACAACTGTAACACGTGATAAAAGTATTTTTTTTAAATTTATACTACGATCTAATACGTATACAATTTTGAATAGTAATAATTTTTAGGAACCTAATATGCATTTAAATTTAGTAATTGACAAATAAAGCAATTTTACAACGAATTTGAAATTTTTAAGATATATGTTAATATGTTACTTGAAATCTTAAAATAGAACATTTGGGTGGACATTAAAAAATAGATTTCCTATAATATATAATATTTTATACAAACTAGTTAAATATTTTCACACGATATAATTTCTTTAAATTCCACTCACTCCTACTACTTCTTTTTTAAATTTTAATTTAATTTATAAAAAAAACCTTCAAGTAGTTATTCGATCTACTGTATAGCCATTGAATAAAGGATATACTATATGTATTTTTCAATTTAATTTGTGTTTGACAATTTAAATATTGGATTAAAATTAATTTCCAAATTACAAGTTGTATTCGTATATATAAAAATAAAAAAAAAAATAGAGAAAAAAAATTAATTAAATTATATAGCTTGTATAGCGTATATGGTTAAAAAAAGGGTGAAATGGGAAATATAATATTTTTTTATTGAGACAAGAATATATTTTAAATGTTAGAGAATTTAGGTGAGCGCATTGAGGTAATAATATTTAAGGAATAATTTTATAAACCATAGGACTGTTTGTTGTAGGACTTACAGAGCGATAAGGTATTCAATAAATGTTCAAAGGAATCTCCTAAAAGGAGGGATAATGTTTGGTGAGTTAAATTTTAATTTAATGATATATCATTTTTTACGATTAACAAAAAAAAAAAAACAATTCTGAAGAAGGTGGTATAACTTTTTGGTAACCAAGGTTACAAAACAATAATTTTAATAATAATATTAATATTGTAATAAATGTTTGTATTAATTTTTAGTTTTCCTCGGTTGTTATAAAAAATATTGAGAATTTCTAATGTTGACTCGCCCTCCCAAAAGTAAGCAATTGGATTAAATGTTCTAACAAAATTCTTCCTTAAAGTTGATAACCAGAGCATTTTTCTACCAATAAAAATAGTTTCAAACCAAAAATAGAAAATAAACACATAGTAGAATAAAAACATTCTTTAAAATCTAAAAATTATAACCATTTTTTGTTTTTAAGTATCGAATCATTAAAAAAAAAAAATTGTAACATAAAATATTTTCAATCAAAAAAAGTCCACAATATTGTAAAACCATATAAAATAATGATATATAATTTTTTATAAAAGACAAGCTTGACTATTGATAGATTTTTTAAAGTGTACTTAATAAAATAATATGATTTTTAATCATATTATGTATACAATAAATTATCTTAAAGCGTACAATATTTTGAGATTTATGGTTTTATTATTTAAACGTCAATGTCAATTTATCATCGTTCATATTAAATTACATACCATAAAAAAATTAGCAAATAATTATTTTTCCGATGTAACTCTGAAGTCTATAAATACTTAAATAATATTTTTATGATATTATCAGAGTTATAAAAACGACCGACTGCTTAACACGCAATAATAATTATAGTTATATTTATATTTCACGTGTTTTATAAGAATAAAATAAATTATCTAAACATTATAATCTTATATCGATTTATGATCTCAATGATTTCATATATATTCTTTATTTTTAGCTGCTTTCCAAAAGTTAAAAATATCTATTTTGTGTTAAGAATAAGTTTAGATGACTAAATTAAAGATACTTAATAAGTAAAACAATTATAAAAAAAAATCCAACACATTATCATTAACACACTAATAATAATAATAATAATAACTAAAATTAATCGAATCGCTCGATTCTTCGATTCAGTAATATTATTTTCAAACGTTTTATGTGTTAATTGAGCTGAGTTAAATATGTGGCATATGAATATTATAAAGTATCTGGTAGATTATAAATTATGATCGTTCAGCACGCCGCGAATATATCTATAAAATCATAACAGTTGCGTTCATAACATAAACATTGTAAATGTATCTATTATACTTTTATTAACTTATGGTAATTTTATTATTAACATAATAATATTTTCATTGAAATGAAGCTAAAATATTTAACTAATTTAATAAACACTCAACAGTATCAAATACAATCAACAATCATTTCAAATAACAATTATTATTGTTATCATTTTATCCAGACATAAATTATTTCTTATTAATGATTAATTGATCAAATTTACTTTTTTTTCTCATTCACTGTTATCATTTATTGCTATTAATAAAATAACATTATTACATAAATTTTATAAATTAAATTAGAATGAAAATTTTATTTTTACCATTATAGAAGCAAGTATAAATATATGAATGAGGATGACAAATTTAAAAAATCCGTTTTTGTGTTATTGTGTATTATTTTAAAATTCAACAAAACCGCGTATTGTTCTTTAAAAAATTAATGGTTGTATCAAAAAAAAAAAAAAAAGATAAAAAGAAAGTTTTGTAAACATCATTCCATCGTATCATTACAAATTAAGGCCAATCACGTCATTATTGGACACAACAACAGAAGAAAATTTATACCCCGGAGCGTTATAATAATATAAATAATATTACATATATTGTATAATTATATAAGAACCAGCAGTTTGCAATTTTAAAGTCAATTTGTAATTTATAAAAAGTGACATGCGTGTTTGTTTGATAATAAATGCATTTTCGTATATTATGTTGCTGGTTTTTTTCTTCTTAATACTATGTACTTAAATATTAATATATCATTATGAGTGAATCGTGTCCGATCATCAGTTATGAACGTAAACAGTATTTCAGAATTCTCGTATTATCTATAAGGAACACAACGGAACAATAATACAACACATAATTGTGCATAATGTATTGCTGTAATCTTTGAAAGCGAACTGAGATCGTTGTTGGCGATTATATTAATATAATAATAATCATTTAAACGGTTTAGAGATTATTTTAATGTAATCATCGCACGGCCTAAATTATGTTGTGTAACACATGAGACTATTTGTCATTATCAATTTCCGATAGGTTCAAATCAAGTAATACAATATAATACTCGTATAATATAAATTTGATTGTGTCACGTGTGCTATAGGTATTGTTCTCGCGCCGTATCCCGCGTAGTATTCACAACAGTCCTATTCATTATTATTTTGTGAAAGAAATGACAGCACTGCTGTTGCAGACATTAATAAATTCGCTTCATTCGTAATTTATTTTTATGTTGACTTTTACTTTTTCTAAAATGTCTATGCAATTTTTTTAAAACTTCAATCTTAAAAATAAAATAACAGAAACAAATATTATTAATCGAGTGTTAACTTGATTTTAGCATGATTGTCATCTAAACGTTTTCAAACAGTGCTTACTGTATTATTTGAGATCCTTTTTTTGATTTTAATATTAAGGAGTAAATAAATGAATAGTTTCATATAACGAACCCCTCAACATGATACTTCGCAAGTGCTAATGTATTAGTACAGCGAGAAAAAAGATTTATTCGTGTAACACGTTACATTTAAGGTCAAGTGATATTTTTTTGAAATTTTTAGTATGTTACATGTTCAACTATGTAACTAAGTAAATATTTGAAATATAATTTTTGCTATGTGTGAACACTTTATAACCCTGAACATATCGGTAGAGTAATGCGAATGTGCTTAATCATTCTACTCAGTCAAAAAAATTATTAACGTATAATATAACAATTAAAAATAAATTAAAATTCGAGAAATTTTAAAAATAAATATGCAAAAAATTTCTTTGTTTAGTTACCAAATAATATAATATTTAAAATATCCATTTCACAATATACTTATATATACAATATACTATATTATGAAAATATAATTTAAATGTAATATCATACCAATAAATTCGTTTAGTTTTTAAATTCATAATAATATAATAAATAATTCATCTATTTTTTTTTTTTTTAACTATAAACTATTTTAAAATAAATTATGATTGTATAAAATATATTATAGGCATAATATGTCACACGTACAAAATAAAACATTTAAATAATTAAATAATAGTAATTTAATAAGGTAATAATGTTTAAGCTTTTACAGTAAAAACGTTTTTTAGAACTAACAAACATATTTATTCGTATCTTTGTGTATTGTATAATTTAATTTATTGCTTTCTTAATAATATGTAAAATAATATCAAACGTTTAATTTTTTTTTATTAATTTTTAAATTTAATTTGTTGAGAAAGTTTAGAAAATAATATTTTATTCATAGTAAAAGTGTAAAATATACAATGTATAGCATTATATTATTATGCTGAGTTGTATTATTACTGAACATTTAATGAATCAAAAGTTAGCAAATTATCTCTTAAACATAATTATTTTTATTGGTCTATTAAATTTTAATGAGCTATTAAATCAATCAATTTTTATGACACGTAAACACTTTTAACCATAATAATAACAGACTACATTTATATATTTGTATATATTTTTTTTTTTTAATTCGAAGTTTTTTTTTATTTCATTATAAATCTAAAAATTTTACCAATAAATGAATATGGTTAAAAAGTGAATAAATATAGGCTGATAGAATGAAGAATCTTATTTGAGGAATTTCGAAAATGTATAATACATATATTATATGTAGTTTAAAATAATTTGAACAACAAAAATTTAAATCTATTTTTATTTTCATTAACAATCTATTATTGTTAACTTTTGCATTTTGATCATAAAAATTGTATTTTTTAATAAAGAAAATTACAAAAAATAATTCACGAAATATTTTCATTATGTTTGTAAAAATAATGACTTATATCAAACCTATGTTATAATATTATTAAATTTTTATATGCATTTAAAACTTTTATTAAGTATAATAAGAATATTATGGTGAAAACAATATAATTTTCGTTTAGTTCGTAAAAGTAAACTGTTCGAAAATGTAAACAGCTTTCGTTATTCTTACATTGATAAACAATATTCCACGAACATCGAACTCCGGTTGTATGAATTATTTAAGAATTTCAAAGTTATTTAAATAGCAAATTTAGCAAATAGGCATATTATAATATTCTTTTGTGTATGCAAGTATATAGTACTTTAAACAGAATACTTAAAATATTGTGTTTTTAGTTTTTAAGACTATTTGTTTAAACATTTTAGGTTCCGATCATTATTAATCTTGCTTTTCAAAAATTTAAATTTATCATATTCGTACGAAATGTTGTCGTGAAAAACGAATAACTTACCGATTTGTACCAAGGATTGTCCATTATAATTATAATATCACTACAATGTGCGTGGAGATCGTCGTATGCAGTGACAGCCAAAACGCAAAATAAATCAAGTAAAGCTGATTGATATATATTATTGTGTACGTTTATTAGATGATGATTATGTATTGAAATGAGGGAAAAACCGTAAAACTTTACACACAGTAGCGGTCACACCGCTATACGCAATTAAACGTGTCGATCGCGTAGGTGGCTACGTCGTATTATGAGAGCATACAAATAAATTTAAAAACTACGACAGCAACAACAGCAACGTTTTAAAATAATATTAATAATACTACAACGGTGCCATACGCGGACTACGATATTCCATTATATAACGGTTATTACACGCGAACTATTGTGGTATGAATAAAAATAATTTGATGCAGCATACGTGCTGGCGGTGTGTTGCCGACGAAATTCGAGCAGTGTTTGAGTCCGTTCTTCGACCGGGCAGTAACTCTTTAAGCGGCACACCGGCATAAGAGGGAAAATAATACTACAATTATAATAATAATAACCGTGGTATAGGTAATAGTTATAAAAGAAGGTATTACCGCCGTGCGATTTGGCGAAGAACGTTCGGTAATTTTCGTATTGTTCAATTGTCGCCGCCGACTATGGCCTCGGAAACTTCCGTTTTAACGTTTTTTACACACCTCAATACTTATATTCGATAATTCAATATACATGTGTGTACATTATACACGAGTGTTCGTAGAAATGACGTGTCTAATTTAATAGATTAAAAAAAAATGAAAAAAATGATAATAACAAACAAGATAACTTAACGAATAAATAATGTTCAATTTCTACGTCTGAAATTGAAAAATTGCAGTTTTTAATTGTTATACTATTAGTATTATTGAATAGTTTAAGTTAGTTAGTAGAAAGTTTATTGAACTCCATTGTTTATATAAATCATATTACCTATATGAAATCATTTTTGTAGGCGAACAATTCATAAAACAATAAATGCGTAGACACATAAATACATGCTACAGATCATATAATTGCAGGTATTAGAGATCTGTCAGATCGATCAACCAACGATTGATTTAAATCATTTTGATTTATTTTTATATTCAAATACTATTCGTATCCAATTGATTCACGTATAAAGTTCGAATACGTATTGTATAACATTATATATGTAAAGAAATGTGGAGTAAAAATGAACAACAATTAATAATTCTATGGGTAGGACGTTTAAGCGTCGCTATTTTTGTTTAAAAAAATATTATTGAATAAAATGTAAGTAATTATCTAAGTTAGAATCGTATTTTTTCATATTGTTATGAACATATATTCATAATGGAATATCAAACAAATTATTTGAATATTAAATTTTAATTATTTACGATAAAATAATAGTTTTCTAATCCGGTACAATATATTTGTATTACTCTGTTAGTTTGTCATCCGATCATATTATCACTGTACTACATGATATATAATATAATTTGTATATTATAACTTATAAGACTTGATCATTTATTATAATTCGTTAATAAATACCGCAGTAGTGCACCTTCTTTAGTGACAAATGACAATGGTTTACGTGGGTAATAAATAACAATAACAGGAAGAATTAGACGTTGATGTCGAAAAAAGATCATTCGGCCATATGTGTTGTTATATTATGAATTTTTATTATATTTTATTCTATTGTATCTACGTGATTATTAATTTATTTTCAAACTATTTTTTTTATTTTTATATTATTTAAACGTTTCATTAATTTGTAACACTCATAAGTTAAAATATGTAATTATATGGTATAGAGTATTACCCTGACAATTTTAAAAATATATTTGTTGATTATGATGTGTAATTGTATATTTGGTACATTTTTGTAATTTAATGCGGAAACCAACAACGAATAACTATGAAACGAGGAACTAGGATTTTTAGTTGAAAAATTATATTATATGCATGTAAAATTGAGCGCACAAACTGAGGATCCACATTAAATTATCACAGCGAAATGTTTCATTTTCCTATTAAAATTGAATTAGCTTTAGTTGTAATAGTTTTAAAAATATATCACCACATGTAGCTTTGGTGTGTTTTTTTAGAATTATAAAATCAATAAAAGATTTAGAATCACGTGAAATACATATTTTTATTTTTTGTTTCCGTTGAACAATATTCTTTAATCCATTAATATTTTTATAGTTACCTTGCTGCACTTTTTCTATCCTGAAGTTTAAAGTAAAACATCATTAGAATCTTAAAACTAAAATCATATTTTTTAATTTTTTTAATTTTTTTTTTTTTTGTGTTTTTAAGTGCTTAACAAAAAACGTGATATTGTTAAAGCGGAATAGTATTAATTGCGATCAAATTTCCGCGACATTTTTACCATGATATTTTTACGTGACATAACTATATGTAGACATAATTTTAATCTTACCAAATATATTTCAATCTGCGATTAGAGTTCATATTTTTCCTTCTGAGCTATAATAATAATATATATCTTATATTTACCACCAAAATAAAATAATCTATTTTCGAAAGTCATTCTATTTTGACAAATAAAATTACCAGTATTTCAATATCTATTCTATACAAACATAAATATTACAAATCATATTCAAATAATAATTTAAAAGAATTTTAGATTAATACATTTTTTCGAAGATTAATTTCTCTTTACATCGTTTCTTTACGGAGATTAAATATAACCAGCTATTTCTCTTTTTAAAGCAACATTTAAGAAACTAGTATAATATAATAAACCTAGTATTTAATTTGTTTTTATTTAGTTATTTTAAAACTATAGTTATTTCTTTTATAGTATGATGCCTGTTAAATTATTATGTATTTTAATGAAACAACTCAAGAGACCTCCATTTAAATACTATATTATAGTCATTATAAAAGTATTCTAGCTAATATTCAATTATTTTATTTATATTCTTCAAAACTTAAATATGGTTTCCCTATATTATAAGTTAAAAGATTATTTGACTAAATAATTTAATGAAATCTTATTTAAAAGTGATCATACATTAAATATTTATTATTTATTTTTATTTAGTTTAATAGAACAACAGTAATAATATAAAGTTTTAATTTATGTATGAAATGGTTATTTGTTTTATTTTAAACATAGACAGGATTCTTATTTACGTATAATCAATTTTTAGTTATGTTGACTTATGACAGGTTGTGTAAAGAATTTGTTTAACAGTTGATTATTTTTGATTCATTAAAATTGAATAGTTTTATCACGAGCCACTAAATCGTTTTCAAGGGTTCATTAGCAGTTAGAATTAAAAAAAAAATTATTTCAAATCACACTATCACTTAGTGAGAATGTCTAAATAATGAATTGTCGCATAATAAAGATATAGCCCATGTAGAATTATATTAATGATCCATTTGTACACGTGCATTTTTATGGATTCAATGTTTGATTTACTTAAATGGTATGTTATGTACCTACTTATGCCTGCTAAGTATATGACTATCTTTTGGCTGTGATCAACAAAAACAATTTTCTTTAAATGGGTCGAAATTCGAGCTGTTTGGTTTCTTAAAGTGAATGGCATTAGATCTTTTTAAAGCTGGCTCTCTGTGAACACTGTACTTGTGCTGTGAATGGCTATATTTCTGTACATTGAATAATAACTCTCTGTTGTTTTGGCATCTTTTCTACGCTCAATTCTAAAGAGTTTTACATTTTCTAAATTTCCAACTATATAAATCGCTTTTTACTCCTCACTACTATTCTATATACCGTTCCTAGTGTTCAAAATCAACGCTGCAAAATAGACTTAAGAATGCTGACCAATTATTATGTTTAGTCAAGTTAGTGAATAATCAAATATTGACATTTTTGCGAACTTTCTCGAGAAAAATGAATATTTATTACAGTTATAACTATTATTTATATTTATTTATTTTTTCAAAAATAATCCTTTTTTCTTTTTCTTTTTTTAATACATTTTTGAATACATATAGACAATTTATAAAATTTCATAAAACATGTCATGAATCATCATAATATTATATTTAAAACATTAATGTGAAAACTAAAAAAATTGTTATTTAGCTATGATATTATTTTATGGGCATTTCTTTCCTTTATAAATGCAACATTCTTAGATCAATTATTGTTCGTTTTACTTATAAGTTATAATAACTATAAACACGTTAATTAGACATGAAAATACTATTTTTTACGACACTTACTTTGAAGGTTATATTATACATTACTGCATGATTAGAACGAGTAACATAAAAAAAAAAATAAAAATATGAATAATTAGGAGTAGTTATAAATTACTTAACTATTATGATTTCAAATTAATCAAAATATAGTCAACCATTTAGTTATGTAGCATGTATAATATTTCGCTCTCTTCTGAAATTTACATAAGTAACGCGCTTACGAATAATTATTATATTTGAATATACTATAAAAAAGAAATAAATTCAAAAAACTTTTTTTAATTGTACATGCAAATATTGAAGTTGTATAAAACAAATGTTTCGTAGAACGACGTTCTATAGTAATACGAGTAGGTTCTAAAATTATTGCAGTATTTTCCTCATGTCTAAAACGATATAAGATAAATAATATTTTTCAATTTAATGTTATTAAGCGTTTAGCATTACCATATAGTTGTACTTATACAATATACGGTTTTAATATCTTTGCAGATCGTTGTGATACACTCTGTATATTATTTTGTAATCATTTATTTTTTCTGAGAAAAACGCTAGGTTACGATCTATTAAATGGAGTAATATTAAGATCTTTTGAACAGCAGTCAATATTGATTTTTTATGTTTATGTATAAATAAATATACTATGTATTTTAAATATCAATTTACATTTTTAGACCATAAATATGTTTACATGATTTTAACCTTTTTAGTATCATTTAAATCCAAAGTTTCAACCCTTTTAAATTTTATTTTTTTGTAAACAGATATTACACATCTTCTCAGTAAATAAAAAATATTGGAAACTAAAATAAGATCATTATTGATAGTTGTAGCTCTATTTTTAAACTAATGTTAATAAATACAAATATATATTGTATATTTACAAAAATAATTAAACATTTTTTTTCATGGTCGTGTTGTATTTTTTCAAAAATAGTTTTCTGAATAACTTGAATTAATAAAAAAAATAAAGCTCTTACGGTGTTTTTTTTATATAACATTGTGTCTTAATTTCTTTTGATCACTACTAAGTATACTTTTAATTTCATATCTTATATATTAGAATAATTTAAAAAAAATGTAGTATTATGAATAGGTATAAATAACATAATTACTTGGTTTTATTTTAATCGACTTAAAATTTTATTGTTTAACAAAACAATAATTTACCGCTATATTATATCATATAATGCGTGATCGTGCTGAAAATCACACTCCAACATAAGCAACAGTTTCGAGCGTTCAATTCACCATGTGTAGCTCACGCAGTGTTCACGTGCATTTTTCCGAT